TGGGGCCGCCACCACAGCCTTGCCCCCTGCACTCTCCCTGGCCCAGATTGGATGTACAATCAAAGCCGAACTGTAACAACTTTCCTCAGAAATAACATGGTCTTCTTATTGGCTGCTCTGGAGACAGCCAAATATGTAACTCAAACTGCCTGGCCCATGCCTGTCATTACTTTCCCAGTCAGGTTTTCCATCTTTGCTCCCCTGTGCCCATCTCTCCTCCTCATCCCATTGAAGCCCCTGCCCTGCATCCGTGTTCCTCTGCACCTGGGCCACTGGAAGGTGGCCACAGCGCCCCCACCCCTGCGCTGCTCTGGCTTCCGCTGGATGCTCTAGGAGAGCCTCAGAAAAGAAGGACAACTCTGCCGTGGCCTCTCACTAAGGGTTTGCCGTTCCCTCCCTGGTCGTGGCCGTGGGCCTGTAGCTACCACTCGTGTGCAGGACTAGAACTGCCTGGTCTGCATGCGCGTGTCCAGGGTCTGGAAGTGAGGGATGACGGGGCCTGCAGGGGGAGAAGAAACTGCTCGCTGCCCTAAAGGCTTCCCGCGGGGTGCGGGTGCGGATGGGCGTGCAAACGGCTCCTTTGCAAATCCTCCTCCACGCTGGGGAGTTACGGTTGCTGACACCAACTTTACCACTCTTTCTGCCCAGGGTTAAGATCATTGTCTGAGAAATAAACCTCCCTTGCAACTGGAAAAGTTAGAAGAAAAGCTCAGAAGATAACCACTGGGTGGGAATGAGTTAGGTAGGGCCCTGCCAGAGAACCAGATTCAGGGGGAAAAAAATGAGTTTAAGGTGAGGTCACTGAGCATGAGTGAGCACTCCCAGCACACCACTGGGGAGCTGGGCTGCGCTGCCCACCCAGGCAGGGTGGCAGGCCCCCGAGCGAAGGGTGCTGGAGCACAGGCCAGCTCCCCACCACTTACACCGGAATCCTTCAGCATGAGCTCGTACTTTGGGAGCCAGCTCACTACTATCTCTGTTTCCTCTGCCTTTGACTTACTGATGAAGTTCCTTCTGAAAATGCTAGGTGAGCAGGCTGTGCTAGAGGAGAACCAAGAGAGGGGGTGGGTGGGCCCTGGGGCGACAGAGCACTGGGCCCAAAAGTGCAGGGGACAGTGGGGTCAGTGGAAAGAGGAGCCCCAAGGGAGGAAGGCAAGCCCACAGAGCTCACCTCTGTCACCCTCCCAGCCACTGTCAGCTGTCATGGCTGGGCTGTTGCTCCTTCATCCTGATGTAGACACACACACACACACACACACACACACACACACACACACACTCCCCAGACAGCCATTGGGAGCAGGAGGAAAAGGGAGGTTACGGCTTCTTCAGGGATGAAATGTGGTTGTTGATGGAAGGTTCTGGTCTAACTCAGTGGTTCTATCTTATCTGCACATTGGAATCTTCCAGAGAGTTTTTTGAAATTGTCAAGCCCCAAAACCCATCATGAGAGATTCTGATTTAATTGGCCTGGTGTATGGTCTGGGCACAGCGTTTCGGTGAAGCTCCCTAGATGATCTGATTGTACAGCTGGTGTTGAGTACCCCCGATCTTCCAGCACTTCCATCCTGGGATGCTACCCACCTGCTCCAACGCATGAGGCAGAGCTGTCAGAAGCGAGGCTGATTGACCAGGCTATGTGGCCTAGGAGATCCTGCCTCATTACCGTATGTGTTCCTTCTACCCTAAGAAAGTGTCCTTCCAACCTGAGTTATGTGCTTCAGCTATAACTCTCCTATGGCTTTCTTTCTTTTTTTAAAAGACTTTATTTATTTTAGAGAGAGGAGGAGGGAGGGAGAAAGAGAGGGAGAGAAACATCGATATGAAAGAGAAACATTGATATGAAAGAGAAACATCAATCAGCTGCTTCTCTCATGCCCCCAACTGAGGACGTGGCCGGCAACCCAGGCATGTGCCTTGACTGGGAATCAAACCCACAACCTTTTGGTTTGGAGGTCAGCACTCAATCCACTGAGCCACACCAGCCAGGGCTCCTGTGGCTTTCTGTCTCCCTAGGGCTATGCACAAAAATCTTCTCTCCTTATGCAAAGCACTGTCCTAAACAGCTGGGGCTCTGGAGCAAGACTGCTTGGATTGGAACCCAGGTTCTACCCAGGTGCCACGACCGTGGCCAATTTATTTAACTTCCAGGTGCCTCATTTTCCTCACCTAGGGAGAATGACAGTACCGGCCTCATAAACAAGAGCATACTTGCAAAATGCTTACAGAACATCCAGATGTGAAGTAAACAGTCACTGGACAGCAGCTGGTGTGATGACCCCGCCACGAGCCTGTGAGAACGGGGAGTCTGCTTTGCCCACCTCTGTCCAGCACAGTGCCCGACACAGAGCAAGCTGCTCAATCAAAAAACAACTACTGGAGAATGAAGGAACATTTCTCAAGAACATCCGTGTCCCCGCCCCACGTGCATTTTCGTCCCTGAGTAGGTCCTGACAAGGCTGAGCTCAGATTCAGAGTGTGGGGGCTGCTGTCCAGCACTCTGGACAGAGACAGGGGCAGGCAGCCTTGGAGACTGACTGGCTAACAGAGCGAGGAAGCAGCTTGTTTTATTTTAAACAAGGAACTTTTCTTCTTGCTGTTTTTGTGGAACCAACAGAGTGCCAACAGCATCCTGGCGCTCAGTGGTCGCCTCATCCCCACAACCACGGGTGAGCTCTGAGAGCACCAGAGCACACAGCACCTCCCGTCCAGGTTGGTGGGGAGCCGGCGAAGTGAAATAAAGCCATGCTCCCGCTGCCCCAGTGATGCTGACCGTTCTGTCTGTGAAACAGGGCAAAGCTGGAACAGAGACATGAACGTCCGGGAAGGGCGATCCTAGGTCCTGGGCATTTGTGCCCCTGACTAGGGAGGACAGTGGAGACGCCACATCCTGGGGATCTCTCCTCTTGATGGAGTGAGGCTGTGGCCCCTGAAAGGGTCTCCTCCTCCCCTGCCTGCCCAGAGGCTCTTACAGCCTCGGCATCTACAGCTGTCAAATGGGGATGATTACTCTGTCGATGGGGGCCCGTGCATGAGCGGTCTTGTCAAACATTAAGATGCTTCCACGTGTAGGATTCTTACTGTCACTGCAGAAAGGCAGAGCTGTGTCTATAAAACAACGAGCCGAAGTAGTGGATCTTTGCTCTGGGGCTGTTGCTGCTGAGGGATGTTGTCATCCTTGTGGAGGGGAAGGGTTAGGGAAGCATGGCACCCTGTACCACCTGCTCTGGGCAAAGTTACTTCTTGTTCTGCAGCCAGCCTAGATGCCCACTCCCCCTGTTCTGCTGCTTGGGGAAAAGCCACTGTTTGGAGTTGGGGGGTGAACCTCCATTTGAGAGCTGAGAAGAAGCTGAGGCTCAGAGAGGTGATGTGAGTCTTCGAAGGCCACAGTTAGGAGAGGAGGAAGCAAGTGGCCAGTGCTCATCCTAACCTGCCTGCCTGTGGCTCCATGCCTGGTTCTGGTCTTGGCACCAGCCTATGGCAGCCCCTGTGTGGTTGCTGCCCCATTTGGATAAGCAGTCAAAAGGGCTGGAGGCATCAGAAAGGCCTCGAGGAATAAGAGGCAGGGGAGGGAGAGCCCAGGAAGGAGGGCCTGGCTGAGAAGGAAAGGCTCAGGGCAAGACCCTGGGTGGGCCTTGCACAGAAGGGAGAGCCTCGCAGTGAAAAGGCACTTCTGAGCATGCTCCTTCCACTTCAGTATGGCACACAGGCCCAAGTGACTGGGGGTTCAACCAAGGGGCAAGTCACTCGGGGATCCTGGTCTTTGGAGGGTAAGACTGAATCAGAGCCCATCCCCAAAGCCTTCCCAGAGGGCCCGTCAAGGAAACCCCATTCCAGACACAGGGCTGAGTTTTAAATTCAAGTATTCTCATCCTGGCAATTCTGTGGTCTTGCTGTGCAACCTGATGCACTCTCATGACCTCTCTGTACCTCAGTTTGCTCATCTGTTAAGAATGAACCTAGAACCTCAGAGGTTAGCTGATCCCCACTCCTGCTGGGCCAGGGCCAGAGTCCCTGACAGGAGGGATGCTCGCCACCACACGAGGCAGGCCACTCCCCATCGGGCAGCTCCAAACCGCTAGAGAGCTTTTGCTTTTACTCATGTGGCACAATGGCCATGAAAAGGCTTATGGAAATAACAGCATAATGGAAGACAGTTATTATTAAAACCACCAGCATTAGGGGCAAAGTGAGAGAGGGTGAAACGGCTGGAGATGGGCTTCCTGAGCACCAAGGCCGCTGAGTGGGGGAAGGCAGCTCAGAGGGGCCCTGGTGAGTGCTGAGTTCTCCCCGGGGAGATTAGACAGCAGCTGGAGACGCTGCTCAGGTCCCGTAAGATCAAGAGGTACATAGTGCTTTGAAGGCAGAAAGGAGCAGCTTCTCGGCCTCAGCAAAACCCACTTTGCTTGAGTCTGCTGTTTGCAGGAGACACATCTCAGACTAGAGCGGGAGGCCCTCTGACTCCCTGGGGGGAGCACATTTGCACTGGAAGGCACAGAGCAGGTGTTCCAAACGTGTTGGCCTAGCAGCCCTTGCTTACTAATGCTGAGGAGCTCACTGAGAAAACCAGGAAGGCAGAGCCAGGGACTCATGTGGGAGAAAATGTATAGAGGGTCCAAGCTGAAGGGTCTTAGAAGCATCCCTGGCAGGCAGACTGATGCAAGAGGCATAGCTTATGGCCCAAGGGTGACCCAGCTAGTTCAGGCCTCACTGTGGAGAAAGCCAAAGCCTTCTACCTGCCAGGTTAAAGCGAGTGTCCAACCCAGTCCCTGGCAGGTGTCAGGGCCTCATAAGGGTTACCTTCGAAGGTTCCGTGCTCTGTGCTCAGCTGTCTCAGACCAGAAAGCCCAGCCCGGCCCTCATGCCTGCGGAAGTGTGACTCCAGAGCCTGTGCCTGGTGCCCCGTGAGGCCTGGTGGGCTTCACTGAGGAAAGCGAGCTCAGAGGAAGGAGGTGCCAACAGAGAGAGGTGCAGGGGCCAAAGGGGCTGCGTCCACTCACCCACGATCTCGTTCTCCTCCAGATTGATGGTCTCCAGCTCAGGCAGGGTGGTGAGCTGCTCAGGGAAGTCATGGAACTGGTTCCGAGACAGGTCGATGGCCTTAAGGTGCTGCAAGGTGCTGACCTCATTGGGGAGGCGGTGCAGGAAGTTCCCTTCCAGGCGGAGCTCTGCCAGGTGGAGGGAGGGAGAGAAGGAAGGTGAGGAGGAGAAACCCAGAGACCACTACCAGCTGCCCAGGCAGGATGGCAGCAAGAGAGCTCCAGGCTGAAAGGAAGACCTCCTCACCTGGTGTCTGATTCCATGTTTATTGATGCAACAGGAGGGTAACTCTTGCCCCTGGCTGGGCTTTTGGCTTTGGGATGGAAGGCTCTCCCACAGAAGCCTGTCTAGACTGTGGGTCAGGACATGCTGGTTCCTCCCTCAGACAAGGCCTTAACTCCAGGCCTTGATGGGACGGGTCAGAGAAGCAGCCTCCAGCCTCCCCACACCCGCAGCCCATCTGAGGGACATCATTTCCCATTACCCTCCAGCTCAAGGAGCCACAGCCATGGTCTTTCTGCATCATGTGACCCTGCTCTAGGGCCAGCCACATCTGCCCAGTTGAGTATGGGTTCCTGCTCCTAGAGCAGCTACTCCAAAGCTCACTGGCAGCCTGTGCAGGGAACCTGGCTATGGCAAGGCTTGGGTGGTGGAGGCTGCAGCTGGAATGCCGTGTTCTACAGAGAAGCTGGACCACCCACCAGGGCCTGGGGCAAGGAAACGGAATGAGGGGCAGAAGCCAAGAGTCACAGCAAGAGTCACGGCAGGAGGTAAGCCAGGTAGTGTAATGCAGGACTTAAATGTGCAGCCTGAGTTCAAACCCAACTGTGCCACCTATGACTTGTTCACTTGGTCAGTTATCTAACCCCATAAGGTGTCAGTTTCCCCACCTGCAGGAAGGGGCTACTAACAGCACCTGTATCACAGGGTTGTTGGGGGCTTACATCTGTTAATTCAGGTAAAGCACTTGGCCGAGTGCCCAGCACAGGGTGAGCATCATACGTGCTACTGTTATTATTACAGCAGAGGGCTGTAGTGAGGATGACATGTATGTGAAGTGCTTTGCACAATGTCTGGCACACAGTAGGTGCTCAATAAATATTAAGGAGGAACCTAAGAAAGCAGAGGGAGCCAGCTGACCCAGAAGAACGGGGGACACAGAGATGCAGAGACGCTGTGAGAGAGCACCCACAGGGGTTCGGGGTTCTGCTGGTTTCCCAGGCTTTGTCCCCAGGTGACCTTACAGAGCCCCCACCTTGTCCCCCCAAAAGGAAACTGGGGTCAGAAATGCCAAGTGGTCCAAAGAATGACCTCTGCTCTTCCCCCCAGGGCTGGCTTCATGGGCCCGGGACCAGCACAGTCACACAGGGTCCCAGGTTCACAAGCGCCCTGCACTTGGGGTTGAGTGTTCTGTGCTGCCGTCCTAAAAGTCTGTGGTGGAGGGGCAGTCCCGTGGCGTGGTCACTGTCTGCCCTGTGAGCATGCTGCAGGGTGTGTATGTGTGTGTGTGTGTGTGTCTGTGTGTCTGTCTGTCTGTCTAGCTGAGGGAGGAGGTCACCCTCTGTGCCTTGGCTCAGACCAGCCCACACTTCAGGCGCAGCCAGGGTCCCGAGCAGGGCGCCAAGTCTTTGCCTCAGTGGCAGCTGCCACCCTCCCTGCCTCCTACCTCTTCACTCCCCGTCCTTTGTGCTGATGGTGTAGGCTTTCCAGATAAAATGCAGGCTGCCCAGTTAATTTTGACTTTCAGAGAAACAATAAATGAATTTTAGTACAAGTACACCCCAACATTGCACAGGACATACTTATAATAAAAAATTATTCATTCTTTATCTGAAATTCAAACTGAACTGAGCATCCTGTATTTTATTTGCTAACCCTAGGAGCCCAATCATGGGGGTCCTATGCCTAAGACTCAAAACACCCTGCCTGGCCCTGCCCGCCCAGCTGTGCCTGCTCTGGCCAATCCAGGGCCTTCCACGCCCAGCCCCTCCCGGAAACAGTGAACGTTGCTACCAAGCACCTCTTAGGGCGGGTACCATGCTAACTGCTTTCTCTGCACAGTCTTCTTTAAGTTCCATGATCACGCCACAAGGTCAGCCCCCACTTCGCAGATACAATGACTGAGGTTCAGTATTTAAAGCCACATTCTGCAGCCTGGTAAGTGGCAGAGCAGGAGTTGAAACCCAGGCCCACTTCCTCCAAAGGTCACATGCGGCCCAGCCGCACTTTTTCCCATCCCCTAAGTCATGGCAAGGCCATGGGAGGAAGCAGCATAGACCTCAGAGGGGGAGAAGCAGTCCATCCACCCTGATGTTCTCTCCTGCAGCCAAGGTTACTCCTCATGCAAAATCAGAAAGCTGCCCTGCCCCACCCAGGGGCCTCCTTTCTAAGCCCCAGGGCCTTCTGGTAAAGGCTGACTGGACCTGACCATATGGACCCTCCAGATATGGTACACTCCGTAGACCCACAATGTCAGCTCTTATCTCATCCCTGCCAGCTCCACTCCAACCATCACCTGCTCTTCTGACTCTTCCATCTGCCAGGCCCCACACCTGTCCTCCCCGCTTGCAGAGTCCTCCTTCCCAAGGGAAGGGCCTTCTGCACTTCCTGTGCTTGGGCCCTCAGTCCCTCTCACCTGGACCACTTGGCCGGCCTCCTCCCTGGCCTCCTGCCTCCAGTCCCCTTTCCAATGAACAGTGCACGGTTGGGCCCATTTAACCTCACGAGCACAGCTCTGAGTGCAGACCTTCAGCGGCTTCCCACGGCTTCCTTCCCAGGTATTCAAGGCCTTTTGTGATCAGGCCCTGGCAGCACTTCCAGCCCAGCACTCACAGCTGGGCATGTGCTCTAAGCTGCTCTCCAACATCCTCTGGTGCAATCTCAGCCAAAGAGACACATCGCTAAAGAGGAGAGGACATACTGCCTCATCTTGCTGAACTCCAGTGCTGTTCTGCCTCCCATAAAGTAGTAACAATAGTTACCTTCTTCTTTTTATTTAGGGCCTACTGTGAGTCCTGCATATTCCAGAAGCTGAGGCTAATTGCCTCATTAATCCTCAGATTTGTCTTACTCTGCTCCATTTGACAGAAGCAAAAACTGTGGCTCAGAGAGGTTAAACCACCTGCTCAAAAATCACACAGCCAGGCTCTGGCCAGGTGCGACAGCTCATTGGAGCATTGTCCCATACCGCAAAAGGCTGTGTGTGTGATTCCGGGTCAGGGCATATACCTAGGTTGGGGGTTCGATCCCTGGTCAGGGTATGTATGGAAGGCAACCGATCAATGTTTCTCTCTCTTTCTCTCCATCTCCCTCCCTTCCCCTCTAAAATCAATAAACATAGCCTCAGGTGAGCATTAAAGAAATATTTCTTAGCCCTGGCTGGCATAGCTCAGTGGATTGAGCGCGGGCTGGGAACCAAAGTGTCCCAGGTTCGATTCCCAGCCAGGGTACATGCCTGGGTTGCAGGCCATAACCCCCAGCAACCGCACATTGATGTTTCTCTCTCTCTCTCTCTCTCTCTCTCTCTCTCTCTATCTCCCTCCCTTCCCTCTCTAAAAATAAATAAATAAAATCTTAAAAAAAAAAAAGAACAGTGAGAAGAATGGCAGCTGCCATTTAGGGAAAAAAAAAAAAAAGAAATATTTCTTAAAAAATCACACAGCCAGGTGGTAGGGAAGCCAGGATTAGGATGACATCTGATGCTGGTCACAAAGCATATGACAAAGGGGCCGGTAACAAAGGAGGCAGGAGAGACTGGCGTGAATGTTTACTGAGTGATGCTGCATCAGGCAGTGCATTAGTTGTTCATGAAATCTCATATAATCCTCCCAAGAAGTCCTATCCCAATTCTCGGGTGAGAGGACTGAGGCTCAAGTAACCTGCCGAAGGCCCAGTAACCTGCCAAAGGCCACACACACCAAGCAGATCTGTGCCCAGTGGTCAGATGTTCCCCGTGTTCCTTGAGATTCACCGATAAGGGAGGGGGAGTAGAATGACGGCCCAATTTCCTCTGGGAAGTGGGGTGGGGAGTGGGCCATCCAGACACCAAGATGGGGGTGAAGCTGGGTGAAACCCAGGGGCAACGGAATCACTGGCGGAGGCCAAAGACACTTGAGGCCCAATTTGAACATTCTCGAGGTGAAAGACTAGTGTAAGCCATCCTATTAGGGAGACAGGCTTAGGATCGAGGGTGGGGTGGGGGAACTTCTCCCTGTATCCCCATAGCTGGGGAGCTGGAAAGCTTTTCATCTGGCTGATATATTTTTAATAAATGTTCAGCGTGTCCTGCCAGGTCTTTTTCTCTGCCGTTCAACAGGATTTCTCTCCATGTCTGTCTTGTAGCCATGGCTCAAAGGCTCTGCAGATCTCTTTTCCTTGTGTGCTGCTAGAATAAATGGCATCTCGAGGCTTATGCTCATACCTACTCTTCTTAGGCCCAGGAAAGAAACAGGAAGACAGCGATCTTCTCTGCCCAGAACACTCAATACATGGGCCTGCAACTACTGAATAGTGGTTACAAGTTCAGCTGATACGCAAAGACCTGCCCCTACTCAAATCCCTGCTCAGTCTGCAGTTCCCGGTCACCCCGGGCAGGTCACCTTACTCTTTGAATGGTTTGGGTTTTCTTGACTGTAAAATGATTTAAATCCTTTCTCTTTCTTCATACACTGTAGGAAAGGAAGGAGTAAATGTTTATCGAGCACCTACTACATGTCGAGTGCTATACACATATCATCTCCTTTAATTCTTATAGCAACTCAGAGATGAGTTTTATCATCTTTTTTTAGAGGTGAAAAAACTGGAGGCTCAGAAAGTTTAGGCGATTGGCCGAACACAGCACAGGTGGTAAGCAGGACAGCTGAAATCTGACACTGGATGTGTCTGACTCCGAAGACATTGCTGCCTCCACGAGGGTGGGCAAGGACTTTATAACCAAAGTTAAATGGAGAGGATGATGGCCCTGAGGTCATCAGAGCCTTACAGAACCACGGGAGACTCACTCTTCTGAGCTTTATAACTGAATGTCAACTCCCTATGTTCTGATGCCCCAGTTGTCAGAAGGCCAAGAGTGCTCCCTCACCCAGCATGTTTAATTAAAAAGTGTAAGCCAGCCCCGGCCGGGTGGCTC